GGTTCGATAGACGTGCTTCGTTAATTACAGATGCCGCGCCTCCTTTGATCCACTCTTTCTCTGAAAGTTCAGCATATTCCAACGCTTTTTTAGGTTCTCCCGACTTCAGCATTGCTTCGGACATGCAACTGTACACGTTTGCATTTCCACTGATCGCCTGTGCTCGCACGGCTTCTGGATTACCTCCAAACTTTGGGTTTTCACCTATTTCTTGCTGGAAATCAGATGTTCTTCCAATACATGTCTGGTAATCCGCCATCGCTAAGTCAAACTGATGCATTGCCAAATAGGCATTTCCCCGAAAACTCGTCAACAAAACACTTCCAGGAAACTTTTCCAATCCAGCATTGTAGGTATCAATCGCCTCTTCGAACTGACCTTTATTGTACATCGCGATTCCATGCTGATAATAAAAGCTTCGCTCCTCTGGATCACACAACTCACGAATCGCCAAATCAATATCTATTACAGCATCATTAAAGCCTTGTTCAACCGCCAGTTCTCTTGCCTTCTTGTAGTCATCACACGCCAGGTTCATCTCTTCCAAACTGTAATGCGTCAACCCACGATTGAAATAAAATGACATTTGATCGGGTTTCAACTCAATGGCGCGGTTGTACTTTTCCACTCCTGTTTTCGGGTCACCAGCCATAGTAATTGCCTCTCCAAGATTCGCCCAGCAAATTGCATTGCTTGAATCAAGAGAAATACTCTTTTTCAAATCTTCCAAAGCGAGATCAACAACGTCATACTTGAGATACAATGCACCTCTCTTGCTTAAGGCAAATGCATTCTTTGGTTCCATTCGAATGGCTTCGTCGTAATCCAGAATTGCCTGTGATCGATTACCGGTTTCGGCAAAATAGTTTGCTCGTTCAAGGTGATGATAGGCTGATGGCTCCAGTTTCACCGCTTTATTGTAATCAGAAACAATTCCATACTTTGCTCCTTGTTGATACTTGATTTTCGCTCGGGTGAGGTAATACCCTCCGTTAGATTCATTGATCTCAATCGCCTGATTAATATACTCCAGCGCTTTTTCGGTATTGTCTTCGATCGCTTCTACACGTGCTAGATTGTTGTAACAATTCCCGCACGTATCATTTAAACTAACCGCTTTTAAATAATCCGCTCGTGCAATTTTCTGATTTCCCAGATACATTGCCGCGAAACCTCTACCTCGAAGCAATTTTTCCTTTTCTCCATACTCCTTAATAAGGGCGTCGTATCCATCAAATGATTCCTTGTACTCTCCTTGAGACATCTTGTCCTTTAGCTCTT